TTTATATTATTTTATATTATTAAATAAATAAAATAAAAATAATTATATTATGTATACTAAACCGTATAAAATTCTTAATTTTTTAGTCTGTCGACCAAAATGAAATAACTTATACATATATTTTCAAAATATAAAAATATTGTTTTATGCTATCGCATTATTTTCCTGCACTTTTCTTCAATTATTAAAAGATTCAATGAATCGGAATTGAAATGGATTTACATTTAAAAAAGATTTGTGAAGATCGCGTGACAAGAGTAAGAAAGCAGGAAACGCCAGTCGCTTATCTTGCGGTATCTCGAGATCGAGGCAGATGAAGCATTTAAATAATGTATCGAACAGGTGAAATAGCAGCTGTTCGTCCGTGTTCCTGCCCTCAACCAGAATGCGTGAACCGCTTTGTAACATCGGTATGGAACGCTCGTTTTTAACGAAAGAAAGAAAAGATCTGCAATGATTAAAGGAAACTTGATATTATTCCATTATTATATTTATAATATTTGATATATTTATTTCTATATACATCATACATACCAATCACTATATAATGAAAATTAGGAATCATTTTATGAAATTCGTGATAATTATATTAATTATATTACATAATACAAATCACGATTTTAAGATGTTGTGTAAAAAAGGCGCTGAGATTTATATGCTCTGCTGAAAACAGAACATCACCATGAATGTAAATCGATTTCAAGTCGCTGTTATTTAACGCCGATATTACGAAATCTGTATATCGTGATGGATTATTCGAAATCTATGATAGAATGTCGGAAGAGATCAATTAAATGCGGTCCATTTATTGCAGACAGCATTCTCGAAAACAATGATCACTGCGTAGATTCTCTGCGGAGCAATCAATTAGAAACATACATGTATTGATGTTTATGTAGAACCTAGACTGTTGCAAGATTCGAGATTTAGAAAACATTTGATTTCCTTGATCGATGAAACTGTTGGTGAACGATGTTTTGATGATGTATGTAATGAAGAAATCTCGGTGATTTGGATGCCGCCACGTGGAGTATGAAGAATTTGCTAGATTATCACATTGTAGTTCCTGAAGAACGAACCATAATACATGAGAAATTGATTTCTAATATAGCTCCTCTAATGGCGATTGTTGCTATCGTTATTTATATTTAATTGGCAATCAATAGCAAGGATCATTTTGGAAGAAAGCGCGGCTCTTGGTTGATCATAAATATTTTTATTACATCTATTTCTACTAAGTAGATCAACTTTAATATCGATTTAATTCACTCTTTATCTTTTTCTAATTTTTAGATTCTCTAAGTAACCCAATGAGCAGAATGTCTGAACAGAATGTCGACGCATAAGACAACTTTAGATATCTTTAAGAATTCTTTACGAAATATGTTTAAGATATTTCATAAAGAATTCTGAAAGATCTTAAAGTTTTGTGTTTCTGCTCGTTGGGAAGTAACTAACAATAAGTTAAATCAAGATTAAAGTTAATCTATATAGATAGAAACGGGCATTTTTACGACAAAAAAGAAATCTCAGGGAATCTTGATGAATTGTGAAGGCGTGCTTCTGTTACACGCGATTTGCCGGATGTTTCGCGAGCGTCACGACGACAATGAGGAGGCTGCGAGAAAGCGATGGCCGCGGTGCGACGTCTGGCAAGGAAGTCTGCGCGGAGGGCGACTGGGAGGCAGCTGTGCCGCGAAGTCGCGCAATCCCGAGAGAGGAAGAGGATAGAGAAGAAAAGGAGAGATGAACAAAGTGCGTAAATGGAAGCTGAACAGAGACAGTGTCGAGATTGGCAGTGCCGTCTTGCAGAGCGGTCGACAGAAGACAAATATGAAGATTACTTGTGACAGATTATTTATGCCTATAAGTACATGTGACATAGCTTTTCTATTTCCAGACTTCCGATTTTATCATTTTCTTTAGTTAAAACATATATTAGGAAAAGAAAGATAATTCCTGATGATTTAGATTTAAAAAAAACTTTAAAGTATATGTGTGTTGTCATTCAATCATTTGATTTTACTATTAAAAAATCTAATTCAATGAAATTAAACTATTAAAATTAGAAAATAGCAAATGGCTGTCGAAAGCAAGAAAAATATAAGATAGTATATATGGATGTGAAAAGAACAGTTTTATTTAAATATTAAAAAATATATAGTAAGATACAAATCTAAAAATATTATAATTATAAATATTGAATTATCAAAAATTAAAATATTAAAATTATTTTCAGATTTGATCTGCCTAAATTTTTAAATAATTTAACAATCATTTTTCCGTATAATAATTTATTTGAAAAATTATATAGAAAGTATTAAAATATTTACAATAGAAGTATTGTAAAATTAATTATTTTTATAAGTTACACTATCATTCAAAAGTTTAGAGTATTCTAATATAATTTTTCGATAAGAACACAAATATAATTTTCTACACAAATATAATTTTATTTAAATAAATATCAATTTTCATTTCTAATATCGTATCCTATTAAAATAAAATTTATGATTAAAGCAATATAAACTTTTATACATTTACAGTATTAATAAATAAAATTAATTAGAAAAATATGTATAATTTATTTTTATAAGTTATACTACTGCTTAAAAGTCTGAAGCACTCTATAGTTTTTAGATAAAATTTTTAAATTTAAATTTAGAGACGTTTTAAACTTTTAAACGGTAATGTAGGGTAAACATTGTACTTCTGAGTAAATTGGCTCAATAAAAGAATTTCCCTTGAGCCTTTGGCAATCGCACGACGCGAGATGTTAAAATTGCAAAAAACTTATCCAAAGGAAGCCTACGGTTTCCGCCACTCGAGCGTTCGGTTAACATACAAGTGCGAGAGAATCGGGTGAATCGACGTACACTTGAAACATTCGTAAGACAGAGAAAGCGCGAGTAAGGAAGAAGAGGATCGTCTGAAGTGACGGTCGAGAGACAGAGAGAAAGAACGGGCGAGCGTGCGCCGGGGACTGTCATGGAGGCAGATCTGCCTGGCTGCCTGGCAGGCAGGAGGGTCTCGACCTGCAGTACTCGGCATTACCTGCCAGCGCGTGAGGCATGCCGGCAGCTGGCCACTGTCTCCCAGTGTCTCCGAAGTCGTGGACACCGATGGGTCGCACGAGTAGTAACGCGTGGTGAGGCGGTACCAAGAAGACTCGGTATCCAGGAGTCTCTTCGGAAACCTGGCGCGCGCGTCGATTACACGACACGAGCGAGCGAGAGATTCGCCAAGTGTGCGCGTAACATCGCGCGTCGCGGTGTCGCCGTGTTGGTGAAGCGGCGTACACGCGTGTAATTCGCGGCCATCAGTATCCGTACTTCGGGAGACGACGATACATCCCGCGACGACGACGACGACGGCGACGACGAGGACGCCGGTGCGGGAGGTAGCGGGAGAAACGCGAGCGGTCCCAGGAAAGCGACACGTCGCGATACGATCGATCCGTCAAAAGCCGTGCAGTAGCGGCACGCAATCCAAGCGGCGGCGTACGCGCGAGACCGCCCGCCCGCTGGCGATGGAGGAAATGTGTTGCTCGTGACGTCACGGAATTCCTTCTCGCTGCTGCTGCTGCTGCTGCTGGAGTAAACGGCCGCGAGCACTTGTCATCGTGCCTTCTTGTTCTCGCGTAGTCGATACTCTCGCGGATACTTGCGTTCTCTCGAGGAGAAACCCTCGGAGGAGAGTGAGAGAGAGAGAGAGAGAGAGAGAGAGAGAGAGAGAGAGAGAGAGAGAGAGAGAGAAGCGCGCGCATTCGGTATATACGAACGTAACGCGTCGGAAACGGAGCAAGAGGAACGAAGTGAGAGAGGAAAGTAAGAAGATAGATAGAGCGAAAAGGAGAGCGGTGGAGAACGTGGGCGTTGAGTGATTGTTGTCGGTGCTAGTTTCCATCGGGAGTCATGAGAGACACGAACGATATGATGGAGGACGCCCTGTCGGAGGTACGTAACAAACTGATACATACATAAATCGGTCCGCCGCGGCGTCCTCGCTTTCGCGCGGATCTTTAGATTAATTATGCCGTGCGTGCATGTTTTCGTACCGAAGAACAAATTTTCCGTGTCGCTTCAACGCTTTAAACCTCCGCGGCTAAGTGATATCGTGGCGCATTTAAATCGTTCCGAAGAAAAGACTGGTTGGCAGTGTCGTGAAACACCGAATGTTTTTTTCATTAAGGATTCTCACGATTGATTTGAAATCGAGTTATTCTCGTTGAAATAACGTTAAAGCGATTGTCATTTTTTAATAAATTATGATTGAGAATTAATTTTTAAAATAGTTGATTTTATTGGAGTTTTCAAATTGAAGATTTATGTCCGGTTCTTTCAAGAATACTCTCTAAAACTTTTAGAATAAATCTCACTCCGAAAAGTGAAATCTCGCTCTTAAAGACTGAAAATTGAGCCACTTTTTTTCAAGATCGGCTCAATTCAAGAAGCTCAATTTTCACTTTTTAAAGTCAGATTCCATTCTAAAGAATTTAGAGAGTAGTTTAACTTTAATCTCAGTTCAACCAACTCTTTATCTTTTTCTAGTTCTAAAAATTAAAAAAAGATGAAAAGTAAGATAAACAGAGATTAAATTTAATCTATATTCGTGGAAATGGACATTAATCACGAAAATTTATGATGGTAGCTTGAAAAATGTCATGAATAATAATACTCGTTGGTATCTTCGTCGAATAGAAATTATTTTCAATTATTTATCGTTATATTGTATATAGGCAACGGGATATTCTGTAATTTTGAAATAAATCTTTCGCTGAGAGAAAATGTTCCGTATTTGGAATTATTATTCTATATAGAAATAAATCCTATATAATATAGATTGAACTACACTGAGAGAAAAATTCCGCTATTTGTAACTGTAAT